AAAAAAAATATGTTACAAAATCGTGTATTTGTGCTTTAATGGCACGTTTGTTATTTTGAGAAATATACTTCCATGCAAGTTTTAAAAAAAGTGAAATTTATCAATGATTGCAGAATTGTATTTAGACAAAACCTACTTTTTGTTATTCAACTATGTACCTTGTTTGTTTTTAAGTTCAACAATATCTGAATAATGCGTTATCTCTTTTAACCGGCCGAATGATATGTTAATAAATTTTTATAATAGAATATATAAGTGGGAATTCGACGTCGTGGGAAATTCGTGAAATGAAAGGTATTGAGCTTTCATAGTCGAATGATGCTGAGCCACCCGACCGTGTAAACCCCAGGATTCGGATATAATTCGCGGAATACCAACCACTATAGGGGCTTCGAAAACCATATTAACCCGTCACCATAGAAAATATGACGTTCGTCATATCCCCTGATGCTTCAGCATTTCTTAGTATAGCAGTGTCTGCCAAACTTGTCCTAGAAGTTTAAATAATTATTTTTATCGAGAAGGATCCGTACTTTAAAAAAAGGTACCTAAGCTAAAGCTTTTCTCACCTTCATTTAGTTCAGAGATGAGTTGACTATTGACTGTTAAATTATTCGACAGAAGATCCTCATGACTGAGCATAAATATAAACTAAATATTTTGTCACTATCTGAAAAAAATAGTCTCCAAATTCAAAAAAGGACCATTTACCGAAGGCTTGGTAAAAATTTAAACTAACCAACTAAAAATCATTATTAGTGCACCAAACCATGTCCTTGCACTGGAATCACCATATACAAATGCCTGCATTAAAACGTCGAGCAAAAAAAATACCAGAAACCGATAACATGTATTGACACAGAGGATATTGGCAGGAAAGAACGGAATCATCGTTTTGTCTCGACCTGTTTATAGCCCCGACGTCTCACCATCTGTCGATGAATTTTTGTCTAACCTGAGACAGATTAACATCTACATAATGTGAAATTTGGTTTATTAATCTGGTGATATTTTTTAATTAAAACCGTATAAATATCTGATTACTTTTTTTTCTAAAGATTTGTCCCGATCAATTAGCAATTTTATATGACTTACAAAAAATGTAAATATAATTAATAGCGTCATCAATTATTTACACGTTGAACGCCAATACTCTTTCGGTAATGTTTGCGAGACCAGTTAGATAAAATCGAACACCAATGATAATGAAACATGCAACAGTTATTTATACATAAAATAGTAAATATTTACTGTTTTTTTCACTTGTAACTAACAATTTGCCTAGATCTGATATCTTTCAGAGCACGTGTACAAAGTAAAAGCTAAATTAAATTAGAAACTGATAATATATTCATAGATAAGAAGGATTTCGCAAATACCGCTTCTACTAAATGAAAAATGACCTTTTTGGTAGTAAATTAGAAAATTTTTGAGTCCCATCAATGTAGGCAGTCTGAACTAAATAGAATAAGAAAAAAAACTCTGTACTAAATGCTTATCTTATCCATTTTGTTTTCATTTATACTTTATTAAATTATCTGTTGTTTTGAAGTGTCAGACGTTTAAAACCCATTAACCAACTTACTATTGAAACAGATTTACAAAACAAAACCTTGTCTTCAGAAGATTTTTTTTATTTATTAATGATTGAAATAAAAAGAGAAAACCATATCAGTTATTAATAAATTCTCCTCCCTTGTTATCTTCTGAAAGAACATTTGTAAAACAATTTATATTTTTAAAAAACTCGGATAACGTTGAGGAGAGAGCCTTGATCTTGTGATAACCTAATCTTCCTGGGATTCTATAATTAAATATTTAATATTTCAATGAAGGAACAATTTAATTATCTTGGATTCTGACATTGTTTTTATATGTTTCAATTAGAAAACAGGAGAAAATTATCAAAAAAATATTTAAAATGTGAGAAATATTTTTTTTTATAATATACTTTTATTTTGTGTATATTGTGTAAATCTCGGTAAAAAAAATAAAATGTATAAAGTAAAATTTAGAAAGACTATTAACCAAACTATTTAATGTACTTTACTTTATAATTAAAACTTTAAAAAATAATTAAACTATTGCATAGTTGAAAGTTTTGATAGGCTAAAGAAAATTAAGTCTAACATTGAATTAAGTAACTAATGGCTCTCATTCTATAAATTATTGTAGATCATGATGAGGGTTCAAGTTGAAAGAGAAATTAAAGTAATTGTATCTAAATGGCACAAAGCTAACTTTTCCCATCTTGGAAAGGAGATTTTTATCTTACATCCAGAATTCAGGCGTATCTTATCTTAGGTAAAATAATAAATCGACTGATTTATAATAACCTTAAAATACGTGCACAACAAAGGTAGAAAATTAATCATTATAAAAATTATGTATGACTTCGATCCTAGGGCCCGTTGACAAAAAAGTTCAGCTACATGTGTAATAGTAGTCCACTAAGTGCAGTGAAATTGTGTGATCACCTGCATGGAAGATTAATTTTGTATGTATTTAACACCTCTAAGAGTATAGGAATCGAAGGAAGGATATTTTTATAAGAAGTAAAAAAGATTTTGAATTCACATTTATTCCTGTATTCAAGAAATATGGCTATTCCTTAAACTTTTTAAAAAGGGAAATGAAGTATACCTCGGGTTGAGGGGTACAATCCAATTCATTAGTTATTCCAATTTTCAATCATCCACCTTTCCAGCAGAAATGCTTAATCACAAAGTTTAAACCCACAAACAGCACTGTTGCTTATACCTCTCCTTCCCTGGAGAAATGCAGGATTGCCATGTTTAGATGTCATTATGTTCGTATGAGAACTCATATTTTATTAATATCGCTCTCTTACACTTTGATTTGGTATTTTAAGCAAAATAGCAGCGATGTTTTTTACTTAAGGAGGTTCACATTGTTAAAAGTTTATGCACAATTGATAATGCTTAGCTAAGAAGAAAACATACTAGTCTGGTTCTTATTAATTCCAAGAAAATATAAATACATTAGACACACGAGTTGATGAAAGAACAAAAAACAAGTTTTTTGTTGTTGTTGTTCGTTTTTTAAGTATTTTAAAAAGTTGATCCGTCATATAAATTACACTTACACGATTGGAAAGGATCAATAGATTAAATTAATCAGATCGACAAATGCACACACAGTTAATCAGGACATAATTATAATGGTTACGACGATTATTTGAGAGCAAAAATATTGCACAAAACTAGCACATTGGAATAAGATACTTGAAGCTATTCCAAAAATATGTAATAAAAGGTAATGTTCAACCTGCAATTTTGGGCACAGTCAAGAATCGACAGAACAAAACTGTAAATATTTACCTCTTAATTTTTAGAGCAAAAATTTATTACCTCATCAAATCTATAATTTTCATAAGGGTATTATTGATATCACATAATGGAGAAAATAAATCTAACGAAAAGCGTACAGGTAAACTTAAAAGTATTTATCCTAGTTAGTATAAATAGAACCAAATTGCCTATCAGAAACCTTGTGTGTTCTTTTTGACTTTTCATGGATAAATGACTGCCTTGGGATCAAAACATAAAACAGAAAAGACGTGAAACAATCCGACGATAGAAATTACTGAAAAGACTACTTGACGTACTTTCAAAATTAGTCAATGAAAACAAATTCGTAATTTACAAGACATAAGACTTTTCTAGTCGTACGGCTGTGAAGGTGTGGGTCTGAGTTAATGATTCTAAATTCCAACGTCTCCAATCAATTTAGGAGAAAATTCACCGTCAACATACAAATGTTCCTTTTTATGTTTCAAATCATCCTATTCATAACAACCTTCACATCCCCTTCGTACATGACCTCATCAAAACCCGCTATAAAAAATTTCATAAATAACTAAGTAGCCATAATAATCTAGTACGACTGTTATCACTTCCAACCCTACCAGAAAATTCGCCAAGAGCATTGGAGCGAAATGGCGACTTTCTCAGTGATTGACAAAAGACGAGGTTTCAGTGTGGAGGGGTGTTGCCTCTGAACAACTTCGTCACTCAAACGGCACATATACTAGCACAATATTAGTAGATGTAAATAACAAATAAGTGTAATTAAAAACAATTTGTTTCTAAGAAAATCGTAAAAAAATCGTGCAAATTTGTTGAAAATAAACGAAGCTATGTTTGTTTAAAGTTTTTCACGTGAAATGTTACGATTATTTTTATTTTATTCCAAAACGAGTTTAAAAAAAAACTTATGTATTGAATTCACTAGTTTTCGTTGAACAATTAAATCTTTCAATTAATTAAGCTTTTTAGTTGAGATAAAAAAGTTAGTGTCACGAGCGGGGAAAAAGGAGGGAAAATTCAAAAGGTGGGGCTGAGGTGGGAAGTTGGTGCCCGAGTGGATCGAAGCCAAGCTCAAGTGGTAGAGTAGCAGCGTATCTAGCCAAAGGTCGTAGGTTCGAATCCCGCTCGTCACACTGACTTTTTATCTCAACCAATTATTATGTATATTATTTTAGTGTGAAAAACGCCAATAGAGGTGACTAATGAATTATCATAATTTATGGGCAATATTAATTATTCAAATTACTTGGAAGTAAGATAAAATATTATCTAAAATGAAACTTCCTTAGTCACATTAGTACAGGATTGTCACCATTCTATATGATCTTTTTTTTCTAAGTATCAAAAAAAATTGTATAACAATATAATGCATGTAAAAATATCACCTCATCATAAAAAATCGATTTTTTTTTCTGAAGTACCTATTGAAAAATATCTGCTCGAGTATCAGGCCCGCCGAACCTGATTTGCGCCTATTCTGAAAAAGTCAACGACTCCGGGGTCGTTTAAGAATTGTAAGATTTATAAGGGCACAGAGAATTGCAGAAGAAACTGTGTTGACGAGCAACCTGGCGTGGAAACGGGAAATACTGAGAAATTCCTCTAACATAAATCTAATTTTTTTTTGTAAATTAAAAACAAAACAATAACATTTCCATTAAATTTACTTACATCAAAATCAGTATGTCTTCTCTCCTCACCTGAAACAAAATAAAAAAATTAAACTATTGTTCTTTCGCATATACATCACTACAATCAAAATATATATGATCCAGAAAACATCCTTTGCAACATCCTACAAAGTCTTAAGAGATTATAAAGAAGAAAAAGAAATCGGAAGAAATCAAGGTAGTATCAAGTACAACGATATGGTATACAGATATAGCTGAAATATTGGGATATTGATGCAAAATAAATTCAGGTTTTCCTTTTCTCTTCACTTTTAGTACCAATTGTGTAAATAAAACTAATTCATTATTCTAAGTGATATACATAATTTAAAGCTTATTTATCTCAGTTTCTTTCTCTTACAATCAATTTAGTAAAAACATTTAATTCAGTCTATCCACTGCCTTCAAACAAATTGATGTCTAGGAGCGAATTTCGACAAATTTATTTCTATCAGTTTAAATCTCGGTGAAGTGCAGCACAAACCGCTCGTAACATTAATGGCATTTGCGGGCAAGAAACCATATATCAATCCACGGTGCAGCGTCGGTTTCAAAAATTCCGTAATGGAGATTATGACCTCACGAGCAAAGAAGGTGGCCGTCCTTCTGCTTTTGACAACGACCGGTTAAAGGCTAAAATTGAAGCTGACCCCACAAAAACTACCCGGGAAATGGTGGAAGAACTTGCTGTTGACCAATCCACAGTCGTTCGCCATCTGGAAGCTATTGGGGAAGAAAAGAAGCTCGCCAAGTCGCTTCCGTATGAGCTGAACGACCGCCAAAAGGATCGCAGGTATGAAATATGTTCAATGCTTTCTATATGCAACAAAAAGTATCCATTTCTCAGTCGTGTGACGAAAAATGGATACTAAACGACAATAGACGGCGTTCTAGACAGTGGCCGGATAAGAGTGAAAAACCAGGGCATTTCCCAGAACCAAGCTTACATAAAACATTATGGTAACTGTTGGTCTCATTACAGGACTCACACAGCTTCCTCAATCCGGGTGAAATCATCACTAAAGTACTGTAATGAAGTTGTACGTACCGATATGGCCAGCATTAAACAATCGGAAGGGGCCTGGAACAATATATTTGGATTACGAGGCATTACCACATCCTCCATCTTTTTCCTGCAGATTATAACTTTTTTAAACTCTCAACAACTTTTTGTGCGAGAAACGATTCAGAACCCAGTGTGACATTGAAAATGCATTTCGTGTGTTCGTCGATTCCGGAGACCATAGTTTCTACTCTTCAGTGATTACTGCATTGGTTGTGCATGGCAAAAACGTATAGATAATAATTGAAGTTATTTCTAATAAATATATTTTGTTGAACTTAAATTGTAGCTTGTTTTCAGTGAACATCAAAACCCCGCATTATTGTTGCATCAATCAAATACATCCTTGCGTCATAAAAATCTTAAAAGAGGGTACACTGCCAAAAAGACCCTGAAGACAGCCAAGCAGCATAAAAGCACTAGCACGTAAAAAGGTAACATTTAAAATAGTCAGTGAATTCATCCAAATTCTCCAAAATATGAGAAAACACAACAGCCAGACCGCATGATGGTTGCCAATTAACCATAAAATGTAATGTAATCCACTATTTTCATCCAGACCATTAGGTACATGTGCCAAAGTAAGAATCACAAATCGTCGTACCTTATCCCCTAGGATCAGCAAACGTTGTAAAATCGGTCGCGATTTGTAATGCAAATTTCCCTACTCCGTTTTCTCGGGGAATTTACAACGGGGACACTGTTTATGACGGCGACATCCTGTGATGGATATCCCGCCCAGCGGCTAGAATTTACTACGAGAAAACCTCCCTTCTATTAAAGCCAAGTGATTTAGGCTATTAATTTTCAGAAAGAATGCCCCCTAGTAATTAGTCCCAGTCTAATTAATTAAAACTGCAAGTCCCCCGACCGTTCCCGAGGTTTTTTTAATATAAAACCGTCCCGTTTTACCGTTTAAAATAAAAAATAAGTATACATTCGATTCATTAATATCTTTTAACAAATCTTTTAATTTGTTTACTAAGTAATTATATCAAGCTTATATAATATAAAGTAGAAAATAGTTCACACGCCTACAAAGAATAAATATAATTTTTTCAGAAGAATAATTTTGTATTAGATTAAAAAAATAATTAATACTTTAAGTTATTCACAATTTTACAAACCACACTACAAAGTTATTGTTTCGTTGTATCTTAACTGCTGAATATATCAGGTATGCCTAAGTTCATGCTCCCAGAGTTTGTAAATATGAAACAGATAAATCTTGAAGATCAAGATAGCTTGTATTATTATAATATTCCCATATATTTATCCTAGCAGGATAATGTCATGGTTTATTATTATTATCATGACGGTTGTTGCGGTGGGGTTTGTCTTCCTATTATGATAATTACGACTTTAATTGCTTAAGCTAAGAGGTTCAAGTTAGAGAATATCATTGTTATTTCGATTGATATAGTTATTCCTGAGATTAGAATTACAAAGAATGAAAAGTATAATAGTAACTGGCTTAAGGTTAATTTTGATGGGGGGGAGGGATTTATCTTGTGCTTTTGTCTAATCCGTAACTCGTTTGCCAAGCAGGCCATTTTCGGTTCCAAACCCGGAGCTGCTCATGGAATTTTAGTTCAGAATAGTATGAAAACATTTTGTAAAGTGTGTTGACCTTTCGTCTGCATAGTCAGCGGATATTTGGACCTTAAGACTCTTATGACCGGAATTACTTACTGTTTACATAATTGCGGGGACAGCGGTGGCCAAGTGGTTAGGCGTCCGACTCGAATTGACCAAGCATTCACAACAGAACCACGATATCAATTTTAATTTAATATATGATTTTGGGATGTCTACACAATTTTTTAAGCGTGATCATTTTCAGGTCATCGATTTCGTGTTACCGGATAGTGCGCAAGGGGTTAGCTTAATAGTGATAGGGTTATTTATAGTGTTAGTGTTGAAGTTGTTGTTTTTAGAGAAGGTATAAATAAAGATTCCAAACCATTTCCTCCCTGCGACCTGTCTAGGTCTATTGTAGAACAACTGGGTTAGATTTGGAATGGTTACGTTAGGCAACGGTATGCTTGGTTCAGCGGTAGGTTAGGTTTACGTTAAGAAAGAGGGTTAAGAGGGTGGTGATTTGTTCATTAGTTGAACTTTGATATTAAAATTAGGTTAGGGTTAGGTAGGGTTGTTTTTCTCCCTTCACCATTCCTGCCGTTCCTTTGGGTAACCCTATCGGCGAACTCGCAATTAAAAAATATATATAAAGGAATTAAAAAAAGAAGAATAATAACAACTTTCCTATTTATTAGCATAGTGGCTAGGGGTTAGGAAGGGATAAGGGAAAAATATTAACATATATTTTTTAATGAAACATTAAAAGGTTACCTAGATGTTTTCTTCTAGTTTCTGTACATTCTTCAGTTATAGACAATTACATTTAGAAATAAATTACAAACCCATACAAATATGTAAAATACAAGACAAAAAACCTACATTCACTTTTCTTTAAAACAACAATCCCGTTTGCCCTATTTATACAACCAACGCTTATTGTTAAGATTAGAATTATGGTTAAGCCAGGTAAGTTAGACAGGACTTGCGTAAGTTTAGTTAGGTAGGAGTAGGTTGAGGTTACTGTTAAGTTAGAAATGGTTAGGTTATAGTCAGGTTAAGGTCAGTCATAAGATTGTGTTACGGTTAGAGAGTAGTATGAAAAACGTATTGCATAGAGGTTTGATCTAAGTTCTCCTGTACGACAGGCATTACATCACTTACCTTATTTTACTCTAGTTTTAAAAAAGTATTAACGAGATATTAACGAGATTCATTTAGCCCCAGAAGCATTCTTTCAGGATCCCGTGGTTGCATGATCATCAATTTGATTAGAATTAGAATTTTAATTGTGATTTTGATTGAAATTGAGATTCAAATTTTGATTCTGTTCGCGATTTAGATTATGAGTTTACTGAGTATTGTGATTTCCGTAATAACTTTATAATAACAATATTGATCATAATTATTCACTTCTGCTGATTATGCTCATCGTTAGGATCGATTTTTGAACTATGTTTCTTTAACGTACTAATGATGAAGATATCTAGTAATTAAAAATTACAACTACAATTATAATCAATTATTTGTATATTTTTTTCTAATTCTAATATTCTTGTTATTTTTCATTAAAAACGTTAAAAAACACAAAAATGGAAACTGTGAAGGCAGAAAGATAAAATTTTGTATTCAGTTTTGAAAGTTTATTATAATTATGCTAGTCGTGTTGCTATCCCTCTCCGTCAGCAGGTTGAAACTCGGCTGTATAGGACTGATAAGAAATTTCTTCTCATAAGACGCTACATGTGTGGTGAACAAGGCTCATCTTTCCAAACCCGACTGAAAAACAATCTATAACCGGACATGACATCGATATCCGCCCCCGGTCACACTGTACCAATTGTGAGTTGAAAAACGTTCGTTTAAACTCAAATAACATAACCGAGCTTTGAACCTCTTCGTACTTTGTCATTTGACTTCGCCAATGCAATTAGAAACAGATGGGACTGAACGTCGCCTGAGTCGAACTAGCTGCGGAACTCTAAATTCGAACTGCAATAAACCCGTTGGAAGACATTAAGTAAATTCATTTCACCGTAACAAGAAATATGTGTACAACTTTATAATTAAGAGGGCGCTGTTTCCCCGGCTGTACTGTCGTGTGTAAATCACGGGAAACTAAAGTCTCTTGAAGCCGTAACTTTCACGAGAGAGTTCAAGTCAATATCTCCACAAGAAAATTTCCGTCCGACACCAGAATTCAAGACTTTTATGTGAATCCATGCTCAATTCCATTCATAATCCCGGCTACAAATAAAATACCAATAATAATACCATTGACTATCACTATCATATTCATATTCTTAATCATAATTAGGTTCATAACCTTAATCAGAATTTCAATCATGGGACCAATATGTGTATATGTGCATCTAATAACTCAATCAAT